AAAATTACAAGTGCAGTATCTTGAGTTCAATTAATGTAATTCCGGTTGTAGAACGATGGCCAGTATCATGAATAAATCCCCAGTTAAGCTTTACATTGTGCATAAACAACACAAACTTGTTGAACGAGATCAGAAACTACCTGGCAAATGTCTGAATTTTCAAATTACTTTAGAAATTTAATGTTAAAATTCTCCTTGAATGGAAATACAAAAATAGGTTCAATAATCTTGATAAAGCTACTAGCAAGCACTGGAAAAAAATAGACATTTTATACTCACTTTGCACAATTGTGAATCAGAAAGGAATGCAGCAGTAAATTGTGTAGAAACAAAAATTACTTTAGATACAGACATATTTTGCATTATTTAAATATCCTCCCTTAAGCAGAAATTGCTAAATATTTGGAATATTTTTGCATTTTATACTGTGAAATCACAAATTAAAAAATATAGTTCTAAAGCTAGTCACAGGATGTGGGTTTTTCCTGCTGTTGCTTTATCATCAGAAAATTACTTTCAGATTTTCTGGGACTGGACCAATTCTTGAGCATGAATGAACTGAACGAAGTCTAAAAACTGACCATTGATAAAGTTTATGTAACATAAAACATACCTGCATATGTTAATCTTTTTTGGGGGAGCAGCAGGGGAAAGGGTGCCAATGTTGGCGTGTACAAGAAGAAAAATTCAGACAAAAATGGATGTCTGCCAAATACTGAAACATATTGTCCAGAAAAATAACCGATTGTAAAGAACATCCTCTCTTCTTATATAACCCAGCAGATGTTGTTGAACTGATTAAAAAAAACAAAAACAAAAAAAACAAGCTTATGAGTCATGGGGTGCAACCACAGTTGAAAAAATGTTTATTGGCTCTTTAATTAAAGCACATTGTGAGACATGGAATAAACATTATTATTAAACTAAGAGATATCTATAGAAATATAAGAATGATTTTTTAAAAGTTTGTGCACATTTAACACAATCCTTCTGTGCAGAAACTGAAATCAGCATTCATCAAAGAAATATACTTTACTGAACAGTTCAGTCAGTGGTGTACATCCACTGGCAGTATTGTGGAATCAGATTATTAAAGAAAGTAATTGGAAATGAATTCTTCATATGAAATTGTTTTATGCAGACAGAAAGAACAATGCATTGGTTAGGTGTGGAGTGGCAAGTGAGATGTCTGGATATGTTCATTGGAATAAAATTAAAGTATGAAACTAGGAGGGACAATATCTTTTAGCCCACAGTGATTACACGTTCTATTGAAATTTACCTAGTGATTTAAAACCCTTTTAAATGCAGCAATTGTGCAGGATTTCCATAATGGGAAGATATAAAATATAGTTAATATAAACACACAAACTCTGACCAGCAAGTACAGTTTGTGATTTTCCTAGCTCTGAAAAAACAGTGCTTAGACAGAATATAGTCTTGTTAAAGTAAAAAGCACACTTCTTTTCTGTTAACTTTGTTTGCATTCTTTTCAAATTCATTTTTAGAACAATAACTGAGCAAGAAATAAGAGCAAAAAAAATGAACTGCACTTGTTCATTACATACTCCGCAAGTTTTCCAGAATATATTCTCCACAAAACCAAAGTACATGTCTCAAATTCTAATGAATCAATCTCTTCTGTTAAGGGGACAATTCCTACGTTACTAAATTTGATCTTGCAATTAATGACTTTTTATACAAAAACAATTTCCAACAATCTGGATTATTTCCATCTTAAATACTTGCCCTTAGTATTTATCAAATCGTGTTTTAGTGTGTTTTTAATTAAGATAACACATTTTACATAATATGATAACTCTAGAACTGAGCCTAACCATGCTTAGCTATCAAATATCCCAATACTAGTAAATGTATAGAATAAAATAAGATGCAACTCCCTTTACCACTTTCCCCCTTGGAATAGCTGGGTATAGTTTCTTTTCTTTTGCAAACTGAACAAGGATATTAAATGCAGGAAAACCTTTTTCAACAAGAATCCATATGAACATAAACAAATTGTTGAGGCAGGGAGGGGGAAGTGCTAAAGCATTTTCCTTCCACCCCCCAGTAATTCCTATGATTATACTATTTCATATCATTAACATACTGGATTTTATCCAGATACCCTATGTACATAAGAAAAGTTTATGCCACAGGTTATGTTTAGATTACTAGTCCAAATACAAATTTTTAAAGGGCTGTTAACGGGTGTGCAAAAATACTGAAGCAGGAAAAAATCATAAACAACTGTGTAATGTAATAAGTGTTCTTACTGTTTCTTTATTAGTTTAAAGAAAACCAGAGCCTAATAACAATATACCTCATACAGTTCAGAACAAAGCTGTTGTTGTTACAGTTATTTACTTGGCATTTGCTTCCTTCAGGAAGTTATTGAGAACAGTTGTATGCAGCACATAATTACATTTTTCAAAGTAATACAACAGGTAAATTAACAAACTTATTTCAAAAATGCTGTTTAAGGAAAACAGAGTCTCTAAAGTCTTCAATATTTATGATGCTGACTTGTTTTTTATGATATTGAGTTTTTGTTATAAATGTTTACTGTTTTTATAGTAGGACTCTTCTAAACAGTCATTTCTGCATTCCTATATAGGACAATTTACTATAGAAATGTCTTAACTTTGTTAAAAATGTTATGAAAACCAAAGTTTTATTGGAATAACTGCCATGCAAACATTAAACTTTTGTACTTTATTATTTTTAATTATGGAAATATGCCCTTGAAAACATTTTGTTCATTCTGTGACTTATGTCTCATACAAATAAAAAGATGCAGTTTAGAAACTGAAGCCTCACCACCATTGTTTTCTTTCAATTAAAATTCAGTATATTAAACACAGTTGAATACATCCATACATATGACACACCATTATCATCTCATCTTGAAAGTTCAAATCAAGAGTGTGCTGAAAAAGTTTATTTCAGAACATCATTAAGATTCATTGTATACTGTAGTTCAAAATATTCTAATGGAGCAGATAATAGTGGTCAGAAATACACGAACACACACATTCATTTGAAACCTAACAGTGTATGTATTAACACTGAACATTAGTGTTGGATTTGATTTGAACTAAAGTGATGCTGAATTTTCTGGTTAATACATTTTGGCAATATTACAAAATCAAATTTAAAACACAATGTAAAGTTATGGCTGAGCAACTGTATATGACATTCCAAGGTATACAAACTGTAAAAATAACAAGTGACTAGGGTGACTGACTAAATGTAGAAAAGATGTATTCACAAGTCTGTAGGTAAGTTACTGTGTCTTGTGACTAATATGTTGTAATTTTAGTATTTAAAACCTGCAATACATTAAAAGCCCAATACTTCATATTTAGAGAGGAGCACTCAATTTTGAATACCAAAGTCACTATCCTTAGAGGAAACCACTTTTTATACTGAAATGAAAGAAACATAAGTCTACTAAATTAGTTTTCAGGGAGATGTTTCAAGGATTGTAGTCAAATTTCCAGTTCACTGAATGTACAGATCTTCAGGCTTGGACCCTACTACTTCAGACTTTGTATTTTCCTTTGCCGTTGTCATTGATAACACATATGTGCTGAAACAACACAACACAGATTGCAATAGTATAATTAATTACATTATTGAATTGTCTTTAATTAGAAATATATTTGATTTTTGACCAGCTAAATGGTCTAGTGATTAGTACTCTGCACTTTAGAGACCTAGATTTGAGTCATGATCCCAATCTCTCAGGCTGTATTTACACTAAGAATTTTTGGACTGTAATTCCCAACTGGTGAACCTCCATCACTGGCAGTACCAGTAGAAGTGCTAGACAAGTCTCAGGCCTCTTTTATCACTGATTCACTGAGAACAGGGATAGAAGACACAGTACTAGAACACCTAAGCTATCTGAGCCATACCTATATTACAGCTTCCACTGGTTGAGCTGCACTTATTGGGAATTACAGATCTGAAAAATCCTAGTATAGACAAGACCTCACTCTTCAAACTCATAGGAGATGGTAGTGTGGCAGAAGTGACTCATTCAGCTCTTGGGAGATGGGGGCGGGGGGAAGAGATTTCAAGAGAAGGGGTAGGAAGGAATTGCTCACAATGCTTAACAATGACTCCTCTAGGAATGGTGTCTGAGGTTCTGAAGGGAGTTCTATTTGGTCCTCTTCTGCTGGAAGGACCATGGCCATGACATAAAGCCTCAAGGGAGAGGAAAATGACAGACTCTTCAAGGCTCCAACAAACTGAAAAAAAAATCTTGTTTATAGCTGAAAACACTTACGTTTAGATCTCTGAAGTGCTCGTTGTAGTCTAAGGCATAACCTACCACAAACAAATTTGGAATTTCAAATCCATAATCTGTATGGGGAAAAATAAATAGTATCAATGTAAAAATAAGTAAATATCCATTAAACAAACAATTAAGCTATTTAATGTGCTAGTTCTCTGAACAAGAAAATATATACATACAGAGCCAAATTCTGGCTGTGTTATCTTTTGGCCCTTAGACAGGTACAAATCATTATCACTAATGTGAGATTTAACTCTGGTCAGTTGTGGCCCCATGCCACAGATTACTTGGGTCTGGAGCATGAATGATCTGGGCCGACAGGCGGGAGGAAGTGATACACAGGGGCAGTTGTGAAATCAGTGGCATAATACACGGCAATTTCGTACCCCTAGTATCTTGCCCTAAGTCGGATATCCCTCTGTGGTTCCAGTTGTGGAAGGAGCCAGAATCAAGGCAGAAAAATTCAGTCCAAGTTGGGTTGCAGCTTCTTAAGCATGCATGTATGTGTAAAGCCAATCTATACTTCATTACAGAGGAAACAAAGAAAGATTCTTTTTAGTGACTAATCTATAGGTAATAATTTATAGCCCTATATGAGTCTATGCATTCTCTTTTGGGAACAACAAATATTATATTACAATAGCACCAAAAATGTGCCAGGTACTGTACAATCTAAGACCCCAGTCCTGCAACGAGTAAAGTACATACCTACATTTAAATATGTGAACAGACACATTAAGTGAACGAGACTATTCACATGCTTAAAGCTAAGCGCAAGTGTAATTCTTTGTAAGTGTGGCATTTAGTACAGGATCAGCTCCACACAGGAAGATATAGACCCTTCTCCAAATTGCTCACAATCTAAAAAATAAATCCAGAATCTTCAAGACACAAATAGGTGGGCATACAAACGTTACATATACACAAACTAGAGGGTCTGCACCTGTTAATGTCTATGGATAAACTACCTCTGGAAGAGCAAATATAGCTAACTGGAAGAGCTGATACAAGCACTAGGGATGATGTAAGGAGACAGTGACCCCAAATGTTTTGTACTCTTGGGGTTTGTTCTAATCATATCTGCTTCTTGTTACTTTTTACTTGAAATCTGTCATATGTACATACCTTTTTAAACAATATGTTAAAATACATGTTTAAGTTTTTCCTTAGGGAAGTGTCTTATTGAAGATTATATTTTACTTACATATTTAACCATAGTGAGTCCCATGACACTTAATATCATGGCCCAAATTCCATACATCAAAAGAGTCAAGAAACCAAAATGATGTATAGAAAGTGCCTCTGGGTGGAATGACTTGGTCACAGGCCAGGATACTATGCTAGAAACACAGGTCACAGCAGACATGCATTCTCCCTAGTGCAGAGTCCATGCCAGACCTCCAAGCACCTTTCACCCCACAATAGCCTCCCTCTCTCCCAAATTTCAAACAAATACCCGCCCCTGGACAGCGTCATCCTTCCTCAAGACACTCACCTACCCTCTTTCCAAGATCTCCTCATTTCACCATCTACACAGTGCAGGTAGACGCCCTTTCTTCTCCTCTTCCTGAATAAACAGACACCCACTCCTCTCCTCAGTAGCAAGTGCTAGTGGGTCTTCTCCATGCAGATCCAGCTCTCTCAAATTTTAGCTCAACATGCCTATCATTGTGTCATTTACTCTAACGAGCCTAAAAGGCGGTAGCTTGGTTCCTCCTCTATCATCTTTCCCCTGATTGACCTTATTATTCATAGTGTGATATAAGCATCTCAAAGAAGTGCATGCTGACTGACAGCAGAGCAGCAAAGGGCGGACAAATTATCAGAAAAAGAAGCCCAGTCTACCCTGTGTTTTTTTGGTAGGTTACTTATAATTATCACTGTCTATCAAATAAACAAACTAACCTTTAAATAAGGATATTTGTTTTAACAACACAAAATTGTTTTCTTATTGTCATCAAACTCAACAGCTCGCAAATAACAATGGTACAAAGACATAACTTTCAGCTTAGAAGGAAACTGGTGGCTCTTTTAAGGGCATAATGAGGGGTGGGAAGAAAAGGACTTGCTAATCCACACACTGTTACCAAAGATAGACGGGAAAGCACTTGCTTGGCATAAGTAAATTAATGATTTTCTTGTAAAAATTTCAGCAGGGAACACCAGACTGAAAAAAACTGTTTAGGGTGTTAGTAGCCAGGGTATACTAATGAGGTCAGACTTTCCAAACTGCAGCACTCTGTTGCATGACTATACAGTCCCTAGTCTCTCTGGCCATGAGATTACTTACTGCAGAAGCTGAAACCCTGCACAGTGTTGATATAATAGTATCCAATTCTACTGTTAGAATTATGTTAGCTTATTGGATCATGATGTAAAGAAAATTCTCACAAGCACTTACAGTCAGGTCTGTACCCATCAGGTTGGGATGTTCTTTTCACCAACAAACTATCATAAAAAAAAAAAGTTTTTTTTTATATAAAAAGTTGGATTTGTCCGGAGAACTTATACTTAAAAATATATTCATTTTCTCCAAATATCTCAGAACTGTAAGGATTCACACTCCATTTCTGCCTTGCCTCTCTAGAATATCAATGTCCTCCTAGCAGAGAAGAGATGGGCATGCTTCCCTACAAAGTCCATCAGTGCCACTCTTGAAATGGCTAATGGGGTCACTGCAGAACAGTACAAAAGCATTTCTTCTCCTCTTCTCCACCCACACCTTAGTGACTCAGACAGCTGTCTCTGTAGTATTCCCAGAAAGATAGTGTAGTGCAACAAGACTAAATCAGACTTGATCCTCCACAGGAAATCATGTTGTGCCACCATTAGAGTAACCATTTATTTTCTTTTAATAGTTAAACATGACGTTTGTGAATATTTTACTCACCTTGCTACCTTAATCATCTTTGGCTTGTATTTTTCTATGTTATTAAGCAGAGCCTTCATAGTCCTTCCAGTTCCAATAATATCCTTTGCAAAACATGAAAAATATACTAAGGAAAAAATAATCATGGAACAGGAAACTTGAGTAAAATTAGAATGGTTTCATATTTTTATTTCTGGGGAAATGATGGTTTTGTTTTCTTCCCCGAATGTACCGAGAGTAATATCCGGAAAAGGTTGGGGAAGCGGTTCAATTCTTTGAACCAGGCACTTTCCCCACAGGGATACAATTTAAGAGAAATACAAACAGGTTGGAGGATTGCCTGCTTTCTACTGTAAAGGGCTAAATTCTGCCCTTGGATGCACTAGTGGGAATTCTGCTGACTTCAGTGGGCACTGCACATACATAACCATCAGATTTCTTATATCAAGCCCATGATCATAGTATCTCAGCACTTGTGCATCCAAGGACAGAATTTAGCCCTAAGAAGCATTTTGTCATGTAATCATAGAAATGTAGGGTTGGAAGGGACCTCAAGAGGTCATCTAGCCCAGCTCCTTGCTCTAAGGCAGGACCAAAAATACCTAGGCCTAGATCTTGTCTGAAGGTGTTGGTATAATCTGTTCTTAAAAACGTCCAAAGATGGAGATTCCACAACCTCGCTTGGAAGCCTATTCCAGAGTTTAACTACCTTTATAGTTAGAAAGTTTTTCCTAATATCTAACCTAAAACTCCCATGCTAGAGATGAAGACCTTTATGTCTTGCCCTATCTTCAGTGGATATGGATAACAATGAATCACCATCCTCTTTATAACAACCCTTAATATATTTGAAGACTATTATCAGGTTCCCTGTTAGTCTTTTTTTCGTAAGACTAAACATGCCTTTTTTTTTTACCCTTCCTCATAGCTTAGCTTTTCTAAACCTTTTATCATTTTTTTTTGCTCTCTTCTGGATTCTCTCCAATTTGTTCACATCTTTTTTAAACTGTGGTGCCCAGAATTGGACATAGTACTCCAGCTGAGGCATCACCAGTGCCAAGTACAGTGGGACAGTTACCTTCCCTGTTTTACATATGACACTCCTGATAAGACATCCTAAAATAAGAACCTTTTTTCACAACTGCATCACATTGTTGGTTCACATGCAATTTGTGATCAACTATAACACCCAGATCCTTTTCTGCATTGCTACCACATAGCCAGTTATTCCCCATTTCATATCTATTTATTTTACTTTTCATTCCTAAATTAAATACTTTGTACTTTATTGAATTTCATCATGTTGATTTCAGATCAATTCTCCGATTTGTCAAAGTTGTTTTGAATTCTAATCCCATCCCCCAAAGTGCTTGCAACTCCTCCCAGTTTGGTGGCATACACAAATTTTATATGCATACTCTCCACTCCATTATCCAAGTCATTAACATTAATATTCAATACTACCAGACCAAGGGCAGACTCCTGTCGGATCCCACTTAATATGTCCTCCCAGTTTGACAGCGAACCAGTGATAACTGCTCTCTGAGTATGGTTTTTCAACCAGTTATCTACTCTCCTTATAATAAATTCATCTAGACCATATTTCGCTAGTTTGCTTATGAGACTGTCATGTGGGACTGAGGTGAAAGCCATTTCAAAATCATAATATATCATATCTACAGCTTCCCCCCAACCAGCATGCCAGTAAACCAGTCATGACATACAGTGCAATGCACATAAATATTCATGGCAGTGTGCTCTGCCATCTGAATGGACACATATACTATTGTATCAGAGTTTCCCTAATCCATGAGTATATGGCTATGTAACTGAATATTGCTTGACGAGCAGATGGTGATACTAAACTCTGTGGGTGTGCAATTTCAGATGGCAAAATCTTATCACTACTCCTCAGCTACCACATTTTAATATAATTTGCTGCAGATATAATTTTTTATCCTTTAGGAGATTGTGGGGCTAAACCAACCTGATTACAGAATGGGCCTCACCTGAGAGGAATCAGGTAATTCCTGTGTAAAAAGGAGCCATAGGCTAGGTCTACACTGGGGGGGGATCAATTTAAGATACGCAAATTCAACTACGCAAATAGCGTAGCTGAATTCGACATATCCTATTCGACTTACCCCGCTGTGAGGATGGTGGCAAATCGACCGCCGCAGCTCCCCTGTCGACGGCGCTTACACCTCCTGACGAGGTGGGAATACGCGCGTCGATTCGGGGATCGATTTATCCGTCTAGATGAGATGCGATAAATCGATCCCCGAGCGATTGATTTCTACCTGTCGATCCGGGCAGGTAGTGTAGACTAGCCCATAGTTAAGTAGTGATAATGCCCAGATGGGGACAGAGCTGGAGGGAGGTTCCTATAAAGGCAGGAAGCTCAGAGCAGGAAGTGGCAATAAAAAGGGGAAGCTCAGGAAACTGCCACTGTAACTGTAGAGATAGCAGGGAACAAGAAGGGTCTGCAGGGTCCTGAGTCAGCAGGGGAAAGTGCTCCAGGCAGGCAGGCCTGGGAGAGACCCTGTCAAAACAGGGAAAAGAATTAGGAATAGTTAAGCATTTCTCATTTTTGGACTTTTAGTTTTGGACAACTGAGACCCTGGATGGGGAGGACCAAAGACTGTGACCTGGCTGAAGGGCAGACTGGATGGGCTACTAAGAGAAAAACCACCACAGCAGTGGAGTGACTGTTGGCAGGGGGTGTTAGCACAGTGAGATAGCCGCAATGCCATGCCTGGCCATGTGTGGTTCCCTAGTGTTGGGTGGACTGTTAAATCACTGTTGAAGAAACAAGTGCTACACAATACCAAGGGTCCTGCTTTATTATTCAAACAACCAATGGATCTCTTTACTTTTTGATTTTTCCTTCCACACTGACAAATTCAAAATCCTGCCCTCTATTAACTTCCCCATGTCACCTTCCATGCTGCTTACCCTCACAACTCTTCCCCTCATGGGCAGATTTAGCTGGTATGCCAATTACATACTGATGTGTTCACAGATATGGCCTATGTGGCTTTTCTCCCTTTAACGTGTGTGTTACATTTAAAGATAACTACAGATACAGACCGAGCTTTTGCAGTTCCTTCCAGTGATATCTACTTTCCACCACCTCTCCCTCTCAATATCATTGCTTCAGGCTAGCCACTTTCCTTTGAAGTGCTGGCATGATGGAACACTCCAGAATGCACAGTGTTGATAATCAGGCATGGGCACTTCAAAGAAAGACAGTCTGAACCAGTCTGTGAATAAGACATACACAGCACTGAAGCTGTGAGGGATATCCAGGGCCATATCATTTTACCAGTTACATCCCAAAGCCACGCAATCAGGGAGCTTAGGACAGCCTCTACTCTCCCCCAAACTACTGAACAACTAGCAGAAGAAAGCAGCAATTTGTGACGCCATCAATAAAAAAAGAGCAGGTGATGCAGCCAGGAAGATTGCTGGGCACACGAGACTGGATCCTGCACTAACCAATGAGAGCAGCACAAATATGGTGTCATTGGTAAGCCTATCAAAGGTGGTGGAAGGGTCAGCTCCCAAATAAAATGCTTCCTTTCTTTATTGCCCTCCCATCTCATGAAGGGTGAACATTATCACTGACAGTATTTTAGAAGCTGACCACAGAATTATGACTTTATTATCTACTTATAATATTATATGGACTAGCCACCTTACCTCCACAATTAACGCACTCTGAAACAAAACAAAAGAAACTTGGTTATACAGGAAGTAATACAAACTGCATCATAATACATGCTAACTAAAATAAGTAAGCATTTTTTAAAAAAATAAACGTTAAAGCTAAATTAGGGCCCTTGTGCAGCTGTGCAACAGGTGGGGCACAAACAGGCTCCCTGTTATTTTATGGCCTGAATAAGAGACAGTCCCAATTGCAGGCACAGCATTCACAGGCTACTGCCCTCCCCAACTGTGTGACAGGCAGCAGCACATATCATCTATGTATGAAGAGGTATAGCAGCAGGTAGTGCAATCAGATGGGAGAGATTCAACTGGGAGTATTGTGCTCAAAAGCTGTAGTAGGCTGTTCAGAATATATCCAAAGATAAATATTCTGAACACTATGTACCACTGAGAAATTGGTTTTTGAAAGCTTCCAGTCTCCTAAACATAACACAAATTTGCTTTAATCTTCTTAAAAAAAAAAAAAGGGCACATAACCTTTGTCCTCAGAAATGTCAAGCTTTATATAATCATGTCACCTGAGGTCATTCAGGTTTATAGTGTCTTGTAACTGAGATAACGGAAGTATGGATTACGAAAGGCTGCTCTAAGAAATATCAAAGATGCTATATTTTTATATCTAAATTGATACATCATCTATAGATAATACACATAAAAAACTATGTTAAAAGAACATTGTTAAGGTTGAAAAGTCAAGCACCCAAGAGTTAGGAAATGCACAGCCAACCTTAATGCTAGCAACTTTAATTCTGCCCCCTTTCACATATACATTATTGTATGCTGGGGGTTGGCATGAGGCTGTTGGGTATGAAGGTCATCTTGCACTTACGCTAAATGAGGGAAAAATTAAATGCCCATTTCTTTAGTAATAGCTGAAACAATGGAAAACCATTGCCTAAGGACTAAATTGCATGCAAGCTTGGGTGGCTGGACCATGAAGGCTAAGGGGTTTCCTGGGAGTCTGATAACCTGTATGGGGGGGAATTGGTTTGATTGCATCAGTGTGTCTGCCAGCAGAAGCAGATAGAGAAGGCAGCAGAAAAGCTAAAGAGGCAAGAAAAGTATTTGATAATATTGCCCTGAGAGAGTGAAGAGGGAATTTTTTTTTTTGGCAGAGTGCTGGCTAGAAAGAGGCTTCTAACTGTAAGCAGAGAAACTCACTCCTATTGTTAGATTTCTTACTGCTTTCAGGGAAACAGGACTTAGTGTATATTCTCTGTAAATAAACAACAGTGTATCAAAAAATACATAATTTTATTATCAATTTCTACTCCTAATGGAAACAACCTGCAAGCCCCTGAGTATTGGCTAAGCCAGTGGTTTTCAAACTGTGGGTCGCGACCCACTGCTGGGTCACAGAATGTAAGGCCGTTAAAAGACCCATCGGTGGTGCTGCCCGGCTAGTCCCTACCATGCTGTGCCCCGGAAGCGGCCAGCAGCAGGTCCGGCTCCTAGGTGGGGGGGCCACGGGGCTCCGCATGCTGCCCCGAGCACAGGTTCCGCACTCCCATTGGCCGGGAACCAATGGGGGGGGGAAAGGGGAGAGTGGCTCTGGAAGGGAGTGTGTTCTATAGACACAGATTCTTCTGCCTCATCCTTGTCCCAGTCTTGTCTTTTCTCTATTCCTGGCTCCTTGTCCTAGTCCCATTCTCATTGCCTACCCAGTCCCAGTCTCCACTCCTCAGGCTTCTCATCCCGATTCCAATCTCCTGGCACAGCCAATCATTTTCTCCCACTTTGGGCTCACTGAGTTTTAATTTCACTTCCCACTCCACAAGTTTCTCTCAGCATGAACAATTTCAGCCTGAATGGTTAAAATTTGTACAAAGTTATAAGTAATTGAAAATGGGGTCTTAAAATGGGAAGGGTCAGGCAACCTATCAGCCTCACCTATAATGGGGCGGAGGAGAGACACACACACACACAAAATCATCACTCAGAAAAACGGCATTTCTAATGCTGGATTAATTAGAAAGTGCTAAATGAAATAATGTTTGGTAAGAACATGACTAACACTTAGGGCTTGATTTGGAGAACAATTCCCACCCAGTTGGAATTGTGAGTGCAAACTGAGGCCATATCGGCTATTAAAATATCTTAGAATATAGTACTTTGTCATTCAAGTTCTAGTTGCACCAAAATCTACTTAATATTAGTGTATTATTTTAACTGTGTTTTCTACTCTCTTTTCTCAATATGAGATAGTACAACAAAATAAATGACCGGATTAATGCCACATTTTAATCTGTTTTACAAAGGAAACTGATGTTATGCAATGCCAATTCATACAAGAATAACTGCCTTTTTAGTGTAAATAACAAAATGGGTATTACATTGCGTTAATTCACAGTGAAGCTTACTTTTCTGCCTATTTTCCACATAGACCATCTGTGTAATGAAATCATTCTTCCTTCCTCTTTAAGTACTGCTTTGTATAACTATGCCTGGATCAAAACAGTCTTTTCAATGACTCAAATCTCTATTTCTCTTTCATCATCAGTATGTTCAGCCATAGTGGAAAAGGAAACTCAGTCATACAGAATGCTCTTCAGATTGCCAAATACTGGAAATAAAATATCCTATCTGATTCAGTTAAGCAACTTACAAGTCCCACAATTAATTTTTTTTTACAATTCAACAAAATATTAGAATCTTCAAATATTCAGAAATATGGGCTAAATTCTGCCCCAGTTATACCCCTGCAATCCCATTACAAGTAATGGAGTTACAGAGATATAACAGGTCAGAACTTCATTCCTTGTTTACAAAAAGAAATAAAATAAAACCACATTCATTTAAATGAATGGGTTAAACTATAAAAGTGTTACATTTCCAAATGTACAGCTATTACAGATTGTGTTCTTCCATATAGAATCAGACCTCTTTTTCCAACAGCTTCTTAGTTGATGTACTACTTAATTTTCAATTTAAAATTAACAAACCTTTCCAGTCAGCTTTGAAAGATCTTCTCCTCCTATTATTTGCATATCTTGCGTAGACTGATCATGCTGAAAAAAGAAAGATAATACTTTTAAATTGTATTTAATTATGTAAGTGTTAGAACAGAAAAAAATAAATAGTTTTGGATTCTTTGGCTCCTCTAATTCCAATTACCAATATTTTTATGTTAAGTCTTAGCACTAGTACATGGCAGAATCATTCTATAAGCTTGTCTCTTTTGGCCTGACATTCTTCTCCTTAATAGAGGATTCCTTTCTCAATTTGTCTCTATCTGCATGTGACATTATTTATATTTCTGCTCTCACCAATATAAACCTGCACTGAGGGTATTTAATTTTTTTTCCAAAGAAGTGATGTTCCTCTGTTCGTTCTCTCTTATTCTGATAGGTGTGGAACAGTATCTTTGCCCTTAATGTGCCACATGCACCTCTTACAATAAGAAAGGGGAAATAAAAACAAGAGAAAATTATCACTTGATAAACACCTGTAGTGCATTTTCTTATTTGCAGAATCACTATGGATATAGATAGGACGCACCTACAGGTATTACTCATGATGAGTGGTAGGCTATTTAAGAACCAGTGCACTTAATTTATTTTGAAAAATAAAAGGATGCATTGATTTTACAGACATCCCGGTCTACATGTTTCTTAATCGCTATACATATGGAGAAATGCAATTTAATCCTTTTTAACGGATTCAAATGAAATGTGTCAGGTCAACTCAATAAAATGAATATTCTGATGCGGGTCAAACTGACCTGAAACAAAACATTTCATTTTGATTATCCCACGGTAAAATTTGATTTTTGCGGAAACTGCATTTTTAATCAGAAAATCATTTAGATGGAAATTGTTTGAGCAGGTCTAATCAAAACCCACTAATATCAGTAGAATAGGACTGGACCACATAATCAGAACAGACAGAAATTAATTTTTGATGGAAGTGCACAGATGTCTTAAATGAGTAACACAGATTAAAGTTAAAAAAAACAAAAAACCCACCCCAAACAAAAAATAGGCCTGCTGAGGAAGTACGCTCTTCCCAATTAAAGAAAGAAATAAAAATAATTGATAGTTTTTGCCAAGTCAGTACAGGCACTAAGCAAATACTTCATAATTTTAGGGAGAGCGTTATGCTAACTTTAAGAAACAGCTGCAGAACCAGTATTTTCTTAACGTGACACTAATTTATTAGTAACATCAGAAAACTGTACAGCTATGAAAAAATTACAAAATGTGCAACTTTTGAACATTTTTCTTATATTTTATCAACTTCAAAAAAATTTTTTTTTAAAAAGGAAATAATAGTTTTCACAATTGTTAAAATCAAATGACCATGATTTATTTTAGAAATCAGTGCTTCCAGTTCGGTTTCTAAGTCCATAATTAAACACCTGTATAGGTGTCCTGTTTTTCAAAAGTACTGGGTACAAAGATTGCAGGATACTCATCTGATATCCTCAGCTGGAGTTTACTAGAGAGACTTTGTTATAAATTAGTGGAACACAGCCCTTATCTGCATTTCTTCACCATCAACAATATGGATATATTCCACTTAACATTATATGCCTTGTGTGAGAGTCTGTGGTGCACCTCAAAGAGAGGTATTTCTTGCAGTCCAGGTGGAGAGGAGCTATGTTAGCTTCAACCCACTTTTGCACCCTCTGATCTTAGGCTGGCATAATTCAGACTGTCTAGGTGCCTATCTAAATTACAGCAGCCTTCCTGGACTACCCTAAGGGTCACAATGTTTTCTGAACACTCCACAGTGATACATGCTGCAGTCCCACCCACAACACAGCCTTCTCACCCCGAGCCTCGCCCCTACCTCAGGACATGCAAAAGGGGCCCTCAGAAAACAGTCTTACAGCTGTCTTTGCAGTTCCTTAGATGGGAAAATTCTCCGCAGCTGGATTGGGGGCTTTTAGATCCCCTTTATGCTGCTCCAGCCCCCTTACCCAGAGAAACAGGGACACAGTGGGGAGAGGATTGTACCCCTTATATTTTTAAATATAAAAGTTCAGTGCTTTTTTCTTAAAGAACAATGTAAAAGTAAAAAAGAAAAAAAAATGCTTCCTAAGGAACTTTTTTAATACTAAACACAAAATGGAAAAGATATAGAATGTATTTTTTCTATAAGTTCTTTATATGAAAAAAACATCAAAAACATATAATAAACTATTTGGCCTAGAGCAAAACAGATTAGCCCTTAAAAATCCAGTGAACAGGTTGAAACAGCTATATAAGGCAAAGACACTTGAAATATCTGAAGTGAACTAGAATTGTAAGTGGAAATTTAATCATTCTTCTGGTTGAAAAAGCTGACAAAGCCTTGAGATACACTATACAACTTTTCTTGGAAAATTTAATAACAAACTGCTCACCAGAAAATTAAAGGAAAACAATGAAGCTATTTTGAAGTCCTATCTGCACACTACTAAGGATTTGATTACAGAAAAAAGACGGTTACCTTTCGTAACTGTTGTTCTTTGAGATGTGTGGCTCATTTCCATTCCATTGTAGGTATGTGCGCTTGCCACATGCACTGGTGCTGGAAGTTTTTCCCTCAGTGATATCCGTTGGGGACCGGCTCTGGTGTTCTCCGGAGTGGTGCGCCTATGCACCAGGATAAGGCATGCCATCGGCTCCCCCCTCCCTCAGTTCCTTCTTGCCGGTACTCTGACAGAGAGGAAGGAGGGCAGGTCACAGAATGGACATGAGCAACACATCTTGAAGAACAACAGTTACAAAAGGTAACCCTCTTTTCTTCTTTGAATGCTTGCTCATGTCCATTCCATTGTAGATGACTCCCAAGCAGTACCACCAGAAGCGGGTAGGAGTTCATGGACGTGTTAATTGCAACACAGCTCTGCAGAAGCCAGCATCATCTCTGGCCTACTGAGTGATGGTGTAATGCATCATGAACGTGTGTACTGAAGACCACATCGTGGCCCTGCAGATGTCCTGGAGAGGGACATGTGCCAGGAAGGCAATTGAAGACGCCTGCGCCCTAGTCGAGTGAGCCTTCACTATCGGTGGAGGCACAGCCTGCGCCAACTCATAAAAAGTATGGATGCAGGTGGTGATCCAATTCGAAATCCTCTGAGAGGACACCGGATGACCCTTTGTCCTGTCATCTATCGCGATAAAGAGCTGGGTCAATCTGCGGAAGGGCTTGGTGTGCTCCAAGTAGAAAGCCAGGGCGTGCCTGACATCTAGAGTGTGCAGCCACCTCTCCTCATTGGTGGTGTGCGGCTTTGGACAGAACACTGGGAGGAAGATATCCTGGTTGACATGGAAGTGCAACACCACCTTTGGGAGGAAGGCTGGATGGGGTTGCAGCTGGACCTTGTCCTTGTAGAATACCATGTATTGGGACTCCGAAGTGAGGGCTTTAATCTCGGAGACACGTCTTGCTGAGGTAATAGCTACAAGGAATGCAACCTTTCACGACAAGTGGGAAAGGGAACAAGAAGCCATAGGCTCAAAGGGTGGACCTGTGAGCCTGGAGAGGACCAGATTTAGGTCCCATTGGGGAACTGGGTACCAGATCAGAGGGAAGAGTCTTTTAAGGCCTTTCGGGAACCTGATCGACATCTCATGCAAGAATAATGATCTACCTGGATGTGAGGATGGAAGGCCGATATGGCTGCCAGGTGCACCTTGATCAAAGAGAAGGTGAGGCCCTGGTGCCTTAAGTGAAGCAGGTAATCCAAGATGGACTGCAGAGACGATTGGGTCGGGGGGATACTGCACTCCGATGCCCATGAGGAGAAATGCTTCTGCTTTGCCAGGTAAGTTGCTCTGGTGGAGGGCTTTCTGCTCTCCAAGAGAACCTGCTGTACCTGACTAGAGCAGGTTTGTTCCTCTTGATTCAGCCACACAGGATCCAAGCTGTGAGGTGGAGAGAGGTGAGGTTCGGGTGCTGGAGCCAACTGTGATCCTGAGAGAATAGCTGGGAAATGGCCACAGGATTGTTACTTGCAGGTCCATGAGCATGCCAAACCAATGCTGGTGAGGCCATGCTGGGGCAATCATAATGACCTGTGCATTGTCCCTCTTGATTTTTGAGAGGACTTTGCTGATGAGCGGAATTGGCAGGAAGGCATACATCAGGTCTCCTGACCAAGACAGGAGAAAGGCATCGAAAGTGAGCCTCTGCCTTGGAGAGAACAGACTGTTTTTTTTGTTCTGTCTGGTGGCAAACAGGTCCACTCGGGGAGCTCCCCACTTCCGGAAGAGCATTCTGATGACCTCCAAGTGAAGGGACTACTCGTGGTGAGAGAAGAAGGACCTACTGAGGTGATCTGCCAGCGTGTTCTGGACACCAGGGAGGTGCGAGGCTTCCAGGGTGATTGCATGCTGAAAGCAGAAGTCCCACAGACAGAGGGCCTACTGGCACAGAGTCAACGAAAAAGCTCCCCCCGTCTGTTGACACAGAACATGGAGGCCGCGTTGTCCGTCAACACCTGGACTATCAGACCGGACAGTTGGGGAAGACAAGACTCCGCAAGCCAGATGGATGGCTCTGAGCTCCCTGATGTTTATATAAAGTGTGAGCTCCTCTCGAGACCATAACCCTTGAGTTTGCAGTGTACTGAGATGCGCTCCCCAACCAAAGTCAGCCGCATCTGAAATCAGGGAGACTGTGGGTCGCGGGCTCGCAAACGGCACACCTTCCAACACCAGAATCAGGTCAGACCACCACTACAGGGAGGTAAGTACTCACAGCAGAATCATGATGACCTTGTCTAGGTGATTTCTGGCCAGGGAGTACACCGACTCCAGCCACATCTGGAGGGGGCGTAGTCTGAGTCTCGCATGTTGGATAACATACTTGCATGCTCCCATATGCCCCAATAATCTGATAGACCTGGGCAGTGGTGAGTGGGTGGGCAGTGACGCTGGCAATCAGATCTGACATTTCTCTGAACCTGGCCTCTGGCAGGAATGCTCTGGCTCACGTAGAGTAGAGAACTGCTCCGATAAACTCTATCTGTTGGACCTGGATCAACATTGATTTTTGTTTGTTTATCAACAGGCCA